ATCAGTTTGTTCTAATAATTGATTTAGACTATCTGTTTTTTTTTGTGTATAATCAAGAATATATTTAAGTAGTTCATGATTATCATAATGACAAATAATATGAAAAAGAATTGCAGAATCTTGTGGACGATAATAGGCAAGAAGAAATCGTTCAAGAATTTCTGTTGGTAATGTTGTTGAGCGTTTTGCAAGCATATCAATACATATAGGTAATTCATTTCGAAATAAATTAGTATCAATTCTTGATACAATGGTATTTATCATATGTGGTGTACCATAACCAACAGCCATTGATAAAGGTGTATGACCATCAAGATTTTTTGTTGTTAATAAAGATGAATTTATTTTCGGTGAATTTATAAATATATCGAACATTTTATCTTTATCTTCAGGTGAACATAATGATAATGCAACATAGTGAAAAACATTATGTTGAAGAATACTTTTTGCCTAAAGAAAAATTTTACTACGTTTTATTTTCTTGTTTTAATAATTTGTCGCAAATCTTTAATAAATATAGACAACTATTTGTTTTTAAATAATACTTATTATATAATTTATTTGTATTAGAAATGAATACTAAATAAAAAAATAAGTTTGGAGGTGATATATTGAAGTTTTATTGATTTTACACATTGAACATGATTCATAATAGTTCAGTTTATACAAATACTTCATATTGATACTGTTGATATATGATTCTTACAGTAGAAAAACTCAAGTAGTGTTTGCTAATTTTCTTACCAGCTACTTATCTACAGTTCTGTTCAGTAAGTTCACCCTTTACAAAGCTTTCGTACTAATTTTCTAACTCTATAATTGAATGAAGAAGCCCAACAATATAATAGTTAGATTATTTGCCTAAGAAGCAACACATGTCACATAGTAAGTTTCACATAGAAATGGAAATGATAATCTATTTGACTACCTACGTCAAACAATCAAATAGTGAGACTTTACAAGATCAAACGATAACTGTACGATAAATATTCGTCTTTTAAGTCTTACATTAACTCCTACAATAGGGTTATAGAAAATGCAATGTAACAGTAAGATCTTTTAAAAGCATTCAATGTAAGATTTTAGAGATGCAGATTTCATTGAATGTGTTCCCATAGTAGTCGAAGACATTAGGCATCGGACTCCTTTTCCTGAGTTGTTTAGCAACGAAAAAAGACGTTCAAAACAATTAACAACAAGAATTAGATTGTGGTATAGAATATTTCAAAGGCTTCCTCGGCATGTGACTGATCGGACTATGTTTTTCGAATGTCCGAATCAGTGTAATTTTAGAGTTTTACGCTGTAAAAAGTCAATATTTAACATGTCAAGAATGATGAGTAATAATCAGTTCTGTTAAACTAAGACAAACAGAATACGAAAAAGAAAAATAACAAGTGAATATCAACAAAACAAATACAAAGAATGAGCACCAGTAAAACAAGAAAAATGTTTTTGTTCGAAATGCAGAAATAAATAGGACCAATCATCCTTGAAACACAACTGTAGCCTGATAGAGATTTTTCACTTCACGTACCTTCTATTAGTATAATGAGGCTACAGAACACGTTTACGTTTTACATTCTAGCCCCAAAAAAAGCAATATTGACAAGTTTTTTTGTACGATTTTGTGTGATCTGCAAATGTCTACATCTGATTTTTTTGATCTGAACAATGAAATTCTTGATTCAATCAATCTGTAAAAATGATTATACGTAATCAAGAAATTTTAAATTACCGAAATATCAGCTTGCCATTGAAGTAAAATGTTCACATAGATAGGTCGATTGAGTAAAACAGCAACATGCAATGGTGTTCGTTTTTCATTATCTCTGTAATTGACTTTTTTACATAATGGTAATAATAATTGAAGTACTTTTGGCATATTCTAAAATTCAAAAATTATACAAATTTTTTTAATTTCATATATTGTTACAGATAAGTCTTTTTGAGGTCCAACTCGAGAATCAGTTGTACGTGGTATTGGTGACGCTTCATCTCTACGTTGTCTTGACTTTAAGTACCTAGCATATATTTATTTTAATTTATAGATGGACAATTTCTAACCTCTTTCGCAGATCTTGCTTCTCTTGATTCATCTATCATCCAAATCGCTTTCGATTGAGCAACAATATGAAGAACATGTTCACCATTACCACTTAATATATTTACATCTATATGAAAGAACAAGTAAAATAAAATTTTGATTTCATCAAAAATATGAATGTGAAATTACCTGAAGAAAATTTACTTTTTTTCTCTAATAATTTTTCTAAAACAGCGATATTATTATACCAAACAGCATAATGTAAAGCTGAATATTGTTTCGTTTTATCTAAATTATGTATTATTTTTTTTATTTGTGAACAATCATGATAATCCTGTTCGATTCGTTGAACAAATTGGTTCCATTTTTCTTCTGCTTCACTTGCCGATGCTCTTATTGCCTTTTAAATAGATTTATTTAAATAATTCAATGAAAATTTTTCAACTAATACTTCAAGTAAATAACGTTCAGCTATATTCACATTTTCTCCTGCTACGTATGAATTTATTGTTGGTGATGGTTTTAATTGATAATTTTCAAGATTTTTTCCATCAACATTTTCAACAAATATTGATGAAGATAATGCTGAATTTTCACCACCAAAATGCCAAACAAGTTTATTTAATGGTTCAGGTGCTATTGAAAAATTGGTCATTGTCACGTATATACTCTTCGACAGTGCATGTCACGCTATTTGTCTTTCGCAACAAAATGAAATTGTATTTATAGGCAACTATGTCAACAGAGAATGGTAAACAAACACAAAAAAAAAAAACAAAAAGAAAATTTGAATTTCATTTCTAACGCTTTATTGCATGGTACACTCTTACACATACGATTGTTGATTGATTTGGTATAGATGCTTCAAACATGTTCTGAAAAGGCCATTTTTTTCATCGTTTAAAAAAACTACACAGCAAAAAATAAATAGAAAAACCATTATGTAAGAAATGTAAAGCGATTAAAATTAAAGTTTAAATTATCCTAAGCGTCAATCTAAATATACAAATAAAAAACGTTATTTGAAATATAAGTTTGATTTACTTCAATTTTTCATAATCGACACAAAAAAAGAAGTTTATGTCAATAGGAGATACATATTGATTTTTAATTATTAATTATAGAATGATTTACTTCATTTTTCTTATTAACGAGGGCATTAACCAAACCGATAATCGGCTGTATAATCTCATATTGGAGACGTAGACAGATATCAGTGAGTCTAGCAAAAGCTTAAAAGAGTTTGTTTTCATGGATCTCTGGAGCTCAGTTACGACTGTTTTACTCGATTTTCGATCCAGCTTTAGGTATTTATCCATATCTTCAAATCACAATATTGTTATCTAAAACTTTTCTATAGACTGATCTAATGACAAGTAGAATATCCTGAAAGTTTCAGATTCATTAACTCGAGGGACAAACATTTTTTGGCTGAAACGTTTAGGATACTCTAAGGTTCATAAGAACTATCTTTAGGCAAACACTTTGGATCGGAGACCCAATAAACCGGTCATAAGTCGGGGCCAAAGGTCATTGCGATTGAACTCTATCAAGCTTTTGCTAGTCTCACTGAGATCTCTTTCTAAGTTCAAAACGAGATTCAATGGCGACTGTCCACTGAAGTAGTTCTCGCGTGAGTAATGAAATTCATCGCGAATAACACGTCAAAATAATTACTAAAACCAGGCGTTGATGAGATTAAGAAGTATATAAAACAAAATGTTCTTGTTTAAATTCATGTTTATAATAAGATGTTAAAGAAGCTAAGGTTGTAAACATACTCTATAGTACTTAGAATAGAACAATATATTGATAAAGTATACAAATTGGTATTAATTGAAACAAAAATTATAATAAAATTGCCATGATTTTGTTTTATTATGTTTATAAAAAGGAATATAGATTCATTGAAAATACAAAATAAAATTGTTCTAATTTTAATATAAATGAGAAATATTAATCGGCAAAACAAAAAAAAACATCTAATTTTTTAATTTTTCCTGTCAGAGAAACGTAACAAATATTGGTATCTCAATCAATTTGTTCTAATACTTCCTTTGCTTTGTCAACTGTTTCTAGAGTGGTACCGATTATTGTAGCTTTATGACTAAATGACAATTATGTTAAATGTAAACTTAATTCTTCGTATCATTTGTATGAAGACATTGAATATGGAACAATATCAAAATAAAATTGAGTCTTTTTCTTCTTCTCGATTAATATGAATTCTTTCTAATAAATAACTTTTACTTGAGTAGAAAACACTCCCGAGAATTGTTTATAGTTGGAAACAAAAATCGTAAGCGCTACCATCGGTTCTTATTAAAGGCGTAACTAAGAGATCGCCGGCACTAGAACAGTGTCCGATGTAGCTCTCTCTTGACTACGCCACTAGTTCTGATGAGCACTGCAGTATACTGTCGGTAGTGCGGACAAACACTCGACATGGGTATATAACGATACTTTACTATCACATGTTTTCTTTATTTGAAGTTAAAGTAGTTGATCAATTTTTTTATAGCCATGGGTGTAACTTTGTTAATAATGTGATTTCATTTTTTCAAATTATTTTCTTTTTAGTTCATTCTTCGTTTGTTATGATCAATTGATTATCATATAAATTGTGCGTGCATGAAGATTTTTTTGCCAATCGTATTTAAATTACGTTTTAATTTAATTTTATTATATATTCGTTCGAAGACGTTTGAAAACCTATGAAAGAAACAAAAGCGACACTCGTTATGCCACTAGTGACATCTATAATATTGAATTAAAACTTTACATCAAGACTTGATTCATATTCTCAATAATATAGTTTGAAGTCGAGAAATATTCTAAAGAATATTATTTTGGTTTTTGATGTTTTGATTTCTTGAAGTTGCTAGGCAACATTCAATAGAGTAGTTCATCGATGAAATTTGATATTATTCATTGATCTTTTTAAGAAATAATCATGGTTGAAGAAGCATTGTCTAACTTTGGTTTGTTCATTGATGATGAAAATAAAATTCGTTTGATCGACCCAGAACGAGTAACTGATTCAGCTGAACTACGTGATGAATGCAAAGATTTTACTGATAGTAAAAACTGAATGTTTGATTTCACAATCTAATCTCTAATTTATTTCTTAAGATGTACTCGAATTTAAAAAAATTGTTGATACATTAATTGAAAAAACTGAGGAATATGCAAAACAAGTTGAAGCAGCAAGACTTAAAGTGAGTTTTTTTCTATTCTAATAAATAAGACAAAAATTCCGTATTAAGTTTATTTTTAATAGAGTATTACGATGTAATATTGTAGATATTTCAACGCTTTTTCTTGTTAGATAGCATTAAATGTCAACCGTAAAAAAAAATATGTAGAAGAATTTGATCGAAGATGTTTCTTGAAGCTCAAAAAAAGCTTCAGAACAAAAACTATCAGAAAACTCTTCTGCAATTTCACTCATCATTTTGTTTATCGAAATAAACAATTCCAGATGTCCTTTTTGATTTTGAGGTATATGAATCAAAAAATCATGGTGATTTTGCAAGCTTTTTCTCAGAGATTTTCTAATAAAAATACAGTATTCATTTGATTACTTCGTAGCGGAGTGTATTTCAGAACGAAGGATAGAATAACCATCACAAATAGTAACAAACGTAGTTATTCGACAAGACATTGTATATGAATAATAGCTCATTCTACTATTTAAACTACTTCATGATATCATTTTTAGAGGAGTCAATAAAACGATGGTGAAGGGATGTGTTTCAAAATAAATAGAATAAAACAGTCTTCTTATGATTAACAACAGCAATTACATCGTATTTTACATTTTAATCGCACAGAGATTATGCTAACAATTATTGTCTGCTTAACTTAGGCAATGTTACGCAGATTGTATGCTTTTGAAAATTTCATAGATTTTGATGACTGATAAAAAAAACATTCTATGAATGATTCTCTATCCTTTTCATCTATTTATACAGTGATGATTTATCTCAATTGTTTCATGTTTTTTTTTTTTTTTTATTAATTCTTTTTTATACTTTAAAATTGCAGTCAATTGGAGCAAAAAATATGTTGAAATCTGCAGCTAAATATCGTGAATTTGAAAAACAACAATTACAATCATTAATTAAAGAAAAAGTTGTTGAACTTGAGCGGTAATATACTATTATTTATTATTATTATTAATTGATTTCTTACTAATAATATATATTTGATAGACTTCGTGCAGAATATGAATCATTACAAAAAACTGAACGTGAACAAAATGAAAAAATGGAACAACTTTCATTAAAAGCGTATGTTTAATTATTTTTTATTTCCTATTTATTGAATCAATGTTCTTTTTTCTTTCATTGTAGAGCATAAAATCTTTTGCTTTTTTTTTTTTTCATTTTTAATAAAAAAATTAAAATAAACTATTTTATTTTTCTTTTGTATAAATTAAATTCTAGATGTTTACTCTTATTAGTTTTATCTTTGTATTATTAACTACAAAAGTTTATTGTCAAAATGTAACCGTACAATTTCAAACATTTCCAGTTAATACAGGTAGATAATAAATAATTAATTTTCGTTTTTTTTTTTTATTTATTACTCTTTTTTTCCAGATATTGGATCATGTACGTGTGATTTAACTGCAAGTAAATGCGATGTGTCATGTTGTTGTGATCTTGATTGTACGTCATATGATCAACAAGCATTTTCATGTACTTCGAGAGACAATAAATATACAAAGTAAATTGACTAAATAGATTTAAAATTGATATGATGTGCAACGAAGACATCATATTGAATTGAAAAACCTTGTTTTCGAGGCGAAATTATTTTTTTTATGTTAATAAGTCATGCAAGAATCAAATAGAATAGATTAACAATTCTCAAATTTTCGATTTCCATGGTTTTTTTTTGCCTATATATACTGATATAAACCCTAAAAGGATTTGACTTTCTATTGAAATTTAACTAAACTATCGAATTTCGTTTCAAGAAGTTTCAGCTTTTCGGAAAAGTCTTATTTTGATCCAAAACTTTTCGTACATAGAAAACTCAATTATAGTAGTTTTCATAAAAAATTCAGAATTTTTGAACAAAGCCGCTTCAAGATACGAACCTTGCAAATTGTAGACTTTTAGTCATGGATAGTATATACAAAATGTATTTTTTGAATATTTCATATCTTGACGAGACTTCTTCGCAACTTCTGATATGTTTTAAAGAAGCTAGTCTATTTGAGTTCTCTACGTAAGCGAAGTTTCAAATCAAAATTAGATAGCTTAGTCGAATCTCAGTAGAAACCTAAATACTTTTAGTATTTTTATTAGAGCATTATGCAGTATTTATAAACAGGAAACTATTGAAATCGGAAGGAAGTATCTAAAGATGTCCCATTGCAAGTACTATGAAAGTAATAGATTTCCATTTCGAGACCAATATGGAATTATTTTATAATAAATATGATGTTTGACAATAGATTGAATGTTAAAAAGATGTTCTGTAAAAAATAGATGAAGGCACAGTGGAAAAAAACTCTTAGGACAGAATGATGTACGATAACAATAAAAAAATGAATATATTTACAAGAGGATCAAGTCAAAGAAAATTGGTCATGCATTTATAATTTTTACTTTCAAGGTAGAATTCTGTTGTTTCAACAATATAACTTAATATTAGTTTTGTAATATAAATCAATTGCTTCCGAAGCGTTTTATCCAATGTAGAGGTTAAGGACACGGAATGCCTTCGAATATTGGGTTGCTCCTTGCTAAGTTTATGATTATTATACTTCATACTCTGTGTCTGTGCTCCTAAAAATACACGTTTGCTTCCTTATTTTCTTATCGTAAATATTAACGGTTTAATTCGCTGTTAAATACAACAAACTTTTTTATGTCAATAAATTTCTTACAAAATATGCTAACGAGTTCAATCCATAATCAGTTTAAAGTAAATGTTTTACCGTCATTTTTTTATACAAAATGACATAGAAATTTTATTCGAGCATATATGTTTTGTTTCGATTTTTAAAAATTCGATATATTTATTTTATTTAGTACAACACCAATTCTATCTACTGTTCAACCATCATGTTACAAAAATCTATCCATATTTGAATCAAATTCACCCTATATTATTCAAAAAATGGGCGAACTTGTTTGTATAGATTTTCAACGATGTTTGTTACAGTTTTTTTTTTGTAAATTTGGATCCGATAAAAAATTTTCCTATTGAATTTAGATAGTGGAAGTCAATATTATCAACAACCAAATGTTCAAACATTGGATCCGGGTTCTTTTGTACGAACAATTAATAGAGAAAATAGTGTATCAGCACCATCTGGATTATCAACTAATCTTACTTTTTATGAAGTAAAAATTTGTACCAAAAACAATATACTATGTGTAGAAATGTTGAAGATGAATGCATACGAAATTTTCGTTAATTTTTTCTATAAAGATGTCATCTAACGAGGAATCCTTTTCATGTGTCAAATCGTTTTTTGATCGAGACAATCTTCATTTGATGCGTGCTAGAGAATAAAAGAAAAGTTCAGGATAGTTTAGTTTTCCAAACCTTCGTTCTTGAGATATTGAAATTTTACTGGGCTTCTCAACTAAACACAACTACGAGTCCATCCTTCCACATAAGCTACAGATTTGTATTGAATATATCTATGCTCGATTAATTAGTCTGATTTTAGCATAAACTAAAGGCGTGGAATATTCTGGAAATCAAGTACTACCTTCTGTAGTGATGATGCAACATTTATACTTGCAGCTTTCCTTCTTGAAGTTAATGACATAACCAGAATTTAGCTGGTGCGGAGGATGGGGAACTCAGATAACTGAGTTCTGTCTGTTGCAGAGATTTATGGCAACGTTCATCTAGTGTGGCTGCTATCGATAATGATGAGAGGGGATAAGCTCAACTTCCTTTGGTTACGCTAATACTTGGAGTCCATTGTTAAGCCTGTTTCTAAGAAAAATTTTAATTTTTCTAGGTCGGTACGTCGATACTGACATATAACATGGCAAGACAGGCACCGATTTATTTTTCTCTGCCAGTGAAACTATTCAATAATCAATTGTGTTCTGGATCACAATCGATCAGTATGTATTATATAATGATTTAATAATGTATATTGATTATTATGTTGTTGTTTTTTCTTATCACTCTAGCTTATATGAATGATTTTACATCAGCGTGTAGTCGATTAGTGACTGAAGGCACATGTAATGGAACTCTTAATCCTTCGACATATATGAACCCTCTTTGTCTTATTAGAGTAAATAGAAAACATAATTACATTTCAGTTGTTTTTCTATATTATGATTTTTATTTTGTTTTAGTCTCCTGCAGCACCCTTTGGTATTTTTTGTTCATGTTTTATGATTCACAAGTGATGATTTGTATTTTTCGTAGATAACTCAACATACATTTGTGATAATACAAATATTATTTCGGCAAATTTTGCTGGAGGCACTTGCTCAAGTGCTCTTAAAAGTGTATGATTATAAAGATGTATCACTAAATAATATTAGAAATTTTTTTTTCTAGTTAACTATTAAAATTTTCTATTCAAATCCAACTGGAATAGTAAATGTGACTGTTACTCCAGTGACTGATAACCCAGAAAATGGTACAACCTTTGAACAAACATTTATTGTTCAATTTATTCAAGTAAAAGTTAAATTTCATTATTAAAATTGTCTTGAATATCATTGTTTCTCAGAATGATTCATCATCATCATCATCATCAGGCGTAGCACGTAATCCAGGTTATCTTCAAAGTGCTAATCTTATAGTGGGTATCGAAAATGGATCTGCAGTCGAGTACGAATTCAATTAACATTTCATTAACAAGAAAAAAAACTTGTCTTGTTTTTCATAGACTATTGAGTTCTTCAAAGTTTTCAATCCTACAGCCATTATCAACTGGCTATTGTGACTTGACTAATACACAACGTATGCCAATCAGTTTTGGTGAAAATGTTCGTTCTACTTGTAAATACAAGTAAGACATTCGATCGAAAACTCTTTTTTCTGTAATTAAAGTTATCTAATATCATATCTTGTATTCTATTCAACATATAGATTTAGATTTAAATTAATCGACCGTGACAATTCATAATAATCTATTATTAAGTAAACTTTTTCTAATAATATAGCATAGAAACATTAGATTATAGTCTGCGAGAAAAATTTCTGGGATATTTTTCGTACTATTTGCCATGAAGTTTTCATCGATTGTAAATAATGCGTGTCGAAGGAAAAACTATACTAAATCTCAGTGCTATTTGGTCTCGTTTCTCAATCACAAAAGGAAATTTTTTCTTAAGCTTAAGGATAGAGAATTCCAAGCTCTACAAAACGATCGATTTGGTATTTCAGACAACTTGATTTCATCAGCACAAAACTTAGAAGAAAAATACCTACTTAGTTGTTCAATTTCGACGATCAAAAAAACAACAAAGAAACTGATGAAAATTTTTTTAAATAAAGGTTCCAGTGAATTCTCAGCTATCTTACGAAATGTCTCCTTAAAATTTTGCATCTCTCGATACACGTTTCACAAGTTAAGAAGAAATATTTGGAAGTAACAGAAGCGAAGGTATCGGACAAAATCATTTTTTGATAGGAAAAAGCGGGTATTGATCACACATTTGACAGCAAAGTGAGCCCTAATTCACTTTCCACAAACTTCACTCTTCAAATGTGTGATTAAATCTCATACAGTACTGTGCGATGATGAGAGTGACATGTTTAAAATGAAGATTTACTTCATAGAATAAATTCTTAGAAGATCTCGCCCGCTCGTTCGAATAGCGAAAACTATAGCAGACAGAAGTTCCAAAACAATGAAAAACAGTATGAATTATGGAAAATATCGAAAGCAATTGCTACTTACTTTCGTGTGAGACTTCATGTTCAATTAGAAGAGTTTCCTAAATATTGGCATTTACACTCATCTCTAATATTGTCCTTGAATAGATTGCTAGTTAATTTCCAGATCTCTCGGAATTTTTTCTTTAAAATATTAAGAAATCTTTCTTTTTTGCCAATTTTATTTATTGGCCTTGGAGTCGATTGTTATAGATCCTTCTGACAGATCTATGTCACCCTTATTTTCTAATTTAAAAAATCTAATCTTTTCATGGTCAATTTAATCTTGAAACAGTTCTGTTCAGAATTAAATTCTATATCCGCTAGCATAACAGTAAATCTTTCATAGAACAAGTCTGCCGTTTTGAAAACATAATTTCCCGAGGTGCTCTCAAAAACACCAACAGTTGTCAATTTCAAGTCTTTCTCTAGTAAATACTACCCTCGTGAACCTTGACAAAGTTGTTGGGACAAAGAACATAAAATTCTCTATCTATGGATGTTAAACAATTCGCTTTTGGCATCGGTTTTACAAAAAAATCAATCAGCATTAGGGGCGAATTGGAAACCGCCCAGTTGATTGAATGAATAGACATTAATGTTTTAAATTTGGCGCTAGCATAGTTAAACTTATTTGAAAAATAAAGTAGATAGTTTTATAAAGTTTCGAAGTCTCTATTTCTTTTTAGAGATCTACAAAAATCGGTCAAAGAGAAAAATCTCTATCTGTTATAATCTTCACAACAAAAACATATTTACAATTGTCAGTTTTTCAAACTCTTTCTATTGATACGTTTCTTAATGAATGAATAGAACGAAAAATATCTCAGAAATTTTTTATCGCTAGATAGTTTATGTTTGAAACTATTGTGTTGATAGCAAATGACAATGTCTCGTTTATTCAATAGAATATGAGAGCTTTTCCCTATAATAATAATGTCATATATATGCTTACATTCAGAGTCAACTTGCATACAAAACTATTAAGGAATTATGATCGAGTGTTCCGAAACTTCGGGCGAGAGGCAGATTTTGTAAACTAAGCATAATAAGCTTTTTTTTTGTTGAAATTTCTAGTTTAACGATACTTGAATATTAGTTCATCTCTTTTTTTTTTCAATATAGTGTATCAACTACTCAAACAACCTGTCCTAATCTCTATGATTTACTTATGCCTATTAATTCAACTAATTTGTATGTAGCTGCTTATAGTAATTCAGATCAGTTCAATATTACCACTGATTGGTTACCAGTCATATCATGTGTATCCGAAATAGGATCTCCAAGTAATCGTCTATGTCAAAATGGTATTAAGATAAGTCCAAGTGTGAATGGTTTGTGTGATGTTAAATTAGATATTCAAATAGCTTATACAAAGATTGGTTCTATTAGTAATCCACAATCTGTATTGAGCGCAGTTATCTTTCATTATCAAGGAAGAGTAAGAGAACATTGATTTGAATCATTTTGGGTTCTTGTCTTTTTTCTTTCTCTTATGTTTATTTTCTTTTATAGACAGTGGCATCAACAGATCCATTAAGTGAAACATTACTTGTTATGGAAAGTGTTACTTTTCAAGATATATCAATCACACCTGTTACTGAACAAGGTCAAATACCATCACCAAATGCTCGTTTACCAGCCGATTTCTTCTATCCATTCTCTACTAATCAAGCAACGAAATTTATGAAATACTCATTATTTCATTATCTTTTGATTAGTATTCTTTTTAGTCTCATGTAGATAATGGAATTTTAAATAGAATACGTCGTTTTTGTTTTTGTTGTACGTTATTTCTTAATAATTAAAACTAATAGACTTCTAACTTTTGCTAGTTATTTTTTCTAATATGTTAACACAGTGGTCATTGCATTACAATCGATTGACCATCTTCTATCATTGGAGTAACAGTCCATAGATGTTTCTAGTTATAGTATCCATGTATTTAATTAAAGTTCTTGTCAACAAACAAGGTATATAAATCGAAAGCTTTTTAGGAAATTTCGGTACTGACGAATTCGTGAGAAAGAAATTCTAAGAATATTGTATAGGATATTCCAAAAGTTTCTAAAATATTACATCTATCAGAAATTCAACAATCAAGTCAATTCTTGACGCAGACTTTAGAAAATAATACTCTGAAGCTACTGTCCTCTTGATCTACACAAGGCCAACATCCCTAATTTATTTTGTTAAGGAGATATAAAACTCTTCCTGAGATCTTCGATTACAATTAATTGACCGATGGTGATCCAGAAATGTAGCTAGGTAGCGATAATTTATCATACTAAGTCGAATGGAGATATTTACCATTAGGTTTGAAATGATGTTACTGTGATATCCGGATAAATGTCAAGAATAAATGCTTGGATTTAGTGGTATAATTTATATAGAAACAAAAATCAAATTAAAAAGAAAAGAAAAATAAAACGAATGTTTTTATTGAGCTGATAAAAATAAAGTTTGCGGTAATTGTTTTGTAAGTATATCAATCTGTTCATTATATTGTTTTAATGATTGATTTTGTTCACGTAACACTTTAATATGTTCTCGTAATTTTTCTAAAGCTTCTTCATGTAATTGTTCAGTTGTTTGAATAAATGTTTCAATAGTTTTTTGATTATTTTCAAAATGTTCTTTTTCTTTATTAATCAATTCTTGTTCATGTATATTTTGTTCTAAAGCAAGCTCAATATGCTCAATGGCTTTTTGAATATGATCTTCTTCTGCTGATTGTTCATCTATTTCAATATCTAATTGATCTTGTTTTAGTAAATTATCAATATGATTTGCTATTCGTTGATTTTCTTCATAAAGACGATGAACAAGATCATGAACTTGTTGCGCATCATTTGTACTTGTTGTTGAAGTAACTAAAGCTGATCGTGTATCAATTATAACTGATTCAAGATGAAATAATAAAGATTGGCATAATTCATTATTGTTATTATTAGATGATTCACATATATTGCGTACTTGTGCCATATGATATTCAAAATCAGACATAACCTTCAGTAAAAGAAAATAGATAGTAATTTTAAAAAAACAAATAAATTTCATATGTAGAATATAATTTACAGCTGATAGTTGACCAATATGTCGATGAATATCGATTTGTTTTCGTTGTAATTCATTGACTGAATAGCGTAAAATCTCCAATGCAGTCGTATGACTATCATTCATATTTGTTGTTATTGATTCTGAATGTATTGGAATTTTCTAAAAACAAGAAATATATAACACAAAGTAATATAAGTATTTTTCTTTTTGTTTATTCCCTTTTTCACTGTCGACAACCATGATATATCTATAAATATGTAAAATACAGAAATGAGTGTGTGTATTTATTGGATTAGAACAAGAAAAATATAGACATGTGATAGAACAGCTGATTGTTTTCCTTCATTTGATAGAAAGCAGTTATGTGAAGAATACGATAGCATCATTCATAAAGAATAAATAAAAATTAGGTTTCGTCTTGTTTCGCTTAGTTCTATATAGTAGTCTTTATGACGTAATTTTCTTTTGAAAGTATCAAGGTTTAGCAGTAGAATACAACATGACAATTTTTTTAAAGATTTTATAAAAGAATGTCATGTTTTAATATTACTTTGTGTTAATTAGTTTTATCATGGAAAAACCCATATGATTGAATTTCATACACATATTCAACTGTCTTTATATTGAGTATCTGAAAGAAAGAAAACACTAAATATATCCTTGTTTTTTTATTGAAATTGATAAAATCATTTTAATTTTCAGCTATTAAGTTTTTCTAGAGCTGGTAAACAAGTTCTAACCTTACAAAATGATGATAGAACAGATATTGGCAGATGTCTGAACCATGAAAACAGCGTTTTGGTGAAATTTATTTTCTGGTCCAACCCTGAGGGGGGGAATAGGGGTGAATTTTTCAACCAAAAAAACAATTTCTCAAAAATATCTGAAATACATATAGACCGACTCAATTTTTTATGCTGATTCGGAATGTGATATTAGTTTTGATCAAATCGTCATTTTTATAACAGAAATCGGCTAGAAAAAATGCCAAAAAGGCTCAAATTCATGCCAGTGTACGCCTTTTTCAGTTTTTTTGGGCACTTGCTGAAATTTTTTTTTCAAACTCTTTATCTGAAGTTTGTAGAGGGAAAAATGCTCTATAAGGTACGCTAAATTAAAGTTTCCCCCTAGGTCTTTTATCATAACAGAAAACAGGTTACATCGAAAAAAAATTGATTAAAAAAATTTGAATTGTTTTGGTGAAAAAAACTTTTTTAACGCCAAGACTTGTTTAAGAAAATAATAAAAGGTACATTTTTGTAGACTTTTACGCGTTCTTTCGAATGAGATGTCTCCCGACCAGAACGGATAAAAAATGGCCGAGATAATGACAAAACAAAAAAATGGTTATTTTTTTGCGTTTCTCAGGCCTTCTTCCTATTTTAATGCATATAACTCAGTCAGAAACCGTCGTGGAAGCCAAAAAATTTTTTCGTAACCTTAGTTTTGACTGACTGGCAAACTCTCTCTTAAGTATTTAGGAAAACGCATAGCAACAAGTGTTCCGTTGGACGCCATGTAAGCATTTTATTTTTACTCAGTTAACAAATGCGTTTGTGGCTAGGATACAGATTTCAATTCCATCCTATTTCATTAACTTCAAGTCTATATTGAAGCTAACACTACAATTTCAACAAGGTTAACCGGTTTTTACTTAACATTTACTAAAATAAAGTTTAATTCATGATCTACTTATGGTTTATGAAGCTGCTACAGCATTAATTTAGTCAGTTGGATTGTGGCTAGTATTTTCTATATTCGATTAGACCTCTTATAATGTTTTTCAAAGAAATACTGTAGAATGATTTTTATCTGACGTCCATTTCAATGCCAACCATAACGATCAACCGAAGCTGAAGCAACAACGTGTGCACAATATGAAAATTCAGAAGAATTTTACAATGGAGTAACTTGAAGCACTATCATCCGTAACCCCATTGATGAGTTTGTAAAGACTGACACATAAAAAGTTCGTCAGCGCAGTCACTTTAGGGTTGGAATGTGAAACTCGCATGTGTTTGCGAATTTGTTGACTCTGATTACCTTTGAACAAACTTTATAAATTACACTAGTATATGCAGACACGTAACTAGATACGTGCATGCACACAAACAAGCATAGCTACAAATTCATTTTATTTATTTCATATGATTCTACCTTGAGTCGACAGAATACAAAATCCATCAATTCGATTTTCATCGATTCAAATTTGAATCGACGAACAAGATTAAAATCGAATATCAATGAAAATCGGATTACACGCGGGATAATCAAAAATAATTAGGGAAGTAGATTATTTTTCAATTGATTTCTATAGTTTAACCAATATCAATCATATTTTTTGCGAAAAGTGAAAATTCCGTCCAAAAAATGAAATTTTGACATCGGCAATAAAAAATAATCGTAATTTCCTCATGAATAGTTTTCATGAGGCTGTAGAATTGAGAATGACACTTCACTAAGAAGACGAACTCTTGCTCTGAAGATATCTGTTGAATAGCATAGACTGAATATAGATATTAAAGTGATAGTTATCATGAGACATTCGCCAAGTACGCTTGAAGTCGATGAAGAATGTATGAAATTACTATGCATGAATCTAAAGGACAGCAAAAAAGCAAAGGAAAAAAATCTGACAAGCGTCACTTTTTCTGTTTGTTTCACGACGGTGCTTAGTGATGCAAAGCGAGCCTTATTATTACGTAGGAGATATCCAATTTTTCTCTTTCATCTTAGATGCAACAATTGATTGTTGATATTGTCTAATGAATAAAGACAGATTAAACGATCGTCAGTCATTCTTTCCTTTCACTTTGTACAGGTAAAATGTGTTTCTCTCGCTCTTCTTTTCTATATTACACATACATTGTACATATCTATGTACACTTGTATTTCAACATAATCAAGTTTTTCTTTATCACTTAAAACTGATAATAAATCGAATAGTGTAAAAATAAAATAAAATAGTAAAAATGAACTTTGGCAATTATAACTGTTCGAGCGCACTTTAACAAAAGCTTATCTTCATTTTTTGTTATCTCTGTGTGCACCTTTATGCTAATCAGCGCATGCACTTTTTTACAAGTGGATATCCATGTGTTTGTTCTTTTGTCTCTTCTCTCTTCACTCTTGGATAATTTCAAGAAACTCTCAGGCTTTCCTTCTGTTTAAACTTAAGGGTATCATGGAAGAAGATACCTGACGTCATCTTCATTATTATGTAGTCTAGGCAGGAGTAGAAGAGATACTTCTGTTATTCCATTCTTCTTCTCTGTTTTTTTTTTGTCTTTAGTTTTTTCTTTTCCTCATCCTTCAGTTTTACTTTTCTCTCTCTCTCTCTCTTGTGTGTATTGGATGATGTATAAATAGTTGAAAAATTTTATAATAAGCAGAAGTAGGATCAAACAGAAAAAAGACCTTCACTTTATATTAAACGTTCGGTATAGAAGGAACTTTTATGACAATAATAATATGAATGCAGTACTGAAGGATAGATTATGTGATGAAACTGATAAACAAGAACGAATCCGACAATTTCATCTTCAAGAAAGAAGTGACAAATGAACATTATTAGAAAACAGTCTAACAATATACATCGTTATTTATTATATTTTTTTTTGTGTCATGATCCTACTTAACCGATGGCACAACAACAAATAAAAAAACATATATATGTATAAATA